AAGAATGAACAGAAAGACAAAATATACATTGTAAGAAAGCAGAAGAGCGAACACACATGACAGAAGAACAGAAAGGAAAATACCCATAGAGTGAAGAGAACATGTATATCGCAAGATTATTATGCTTGATATGAGATTAGGTTAACTACTTCCTAACAATTTGTTAATACTTTTCTCTCGCGTGATTTTTATTTTTCTTATACCTATTAATAATGTAAAAATAGGTAAAAATTTATTTTTTAGATAAATTTTATAAAAATCGCAAATACCGCGGTTTTCCTTTAGCGGTTTGCGGTTTTTGATTTTCGTCAAAATACCGCGGTTTTGCGGTTGCGGTAAACCGCGATCAGAAACCCTATCCGAAATGTACTGGGACCAAAAAGTTTGGGTTCAAAAGTTTGGTATGTCGAAATTTGGTACGTCAATTGTTTTAAAGAATATTTGATGGTAATCTGTTGTCTTTCGAGTATTACTACAGAGTTCTTTTTTCTGATTCAACTATTATCTTTTTCGTGTAATCTCGACGTCATCCTGTTGTTTGGATCCTGATTGGCAACCTTATTATCTACACGTCTGCTAGGACAGTAGAATTCGTGCACGTAGTTATCATACTAGCCTAACTTCACAATGTCATCGATGATTCCGATCAATGTTGAGATTGAAGGAAATGAAGGCCGTTTTAAAACGGCAGTTTGTTATGGAACTGGATCATTTTTACCGAAATAGTGGTATAAGTCTAAAGCAATCTCAAAATTGGCCTAAAGGGCTTTTTATTGTGCTCTAGGAACGTGAGTGTCTGCCAAAAATTTTTATATTCATATGATACTTTTAAAAAGGTTTTCGTGATTTTGTTCGAAAGAATTTTACGAAATTTTCAAGAGAAGTAGAGGATGATTCAGAAGCATGGCTAAAAGAAGTGTTAGCAAATTTCGAATGTCTAGATATCGCTGAGTCACAATGGTTAATGTTTCTTCCTTCTTTGTTAACAAGTTCTGCTCATATTTGGTATTCAACAGAAAAATCTGCCCTCAGTGATTTTGACGAATTTATAGTAAAATTTAGTAAACAATTTGCATTCAAGCGAGACAGACCGAGTAGATTTCGGCTGTCCGCAACAACATCAACATCTACTATGACGGTGCCACCATCAGCAATCACGATACCGGATCCTGTATCTCGTACGGATCCGATTCAATTAGGTTTAAAGAAACATTAAATGAATAGATGATTAAAGTTGAAAACATTCGATGGCAAAAAACAAAACGTTGTAAGTTGGCTAGATGAATTGGAAATACAGTCTGAAGCTCATAACTGGAATGATAAAATCAGATTGCAGTGTATTCCAACAATTTTACAAGATCTAGCACTTAAATGGTATACAAGAAAATCGGCATCAATAAATAGTTGGACGGATTTGTTAAGGAAATTAAGGAGGAATTCGGTTCGAAATTCAGTCAACAACAAGCATTTGAAAAAATGAAAAATTATCAACAATCAGTTAGCCAATCTGTTATTGAAGATTATAACGGCATGCTTGATATCAGTCGAAAAATTGACCCATCACCAACAGATGTAAATATATTATAGCATTTAATTTCAAATGCAAAACCATCATTGAAAAGAAAAATTTTAAAAAAAGGCACCAATGCCTACTACAAAATTTTCGAAGTATGCAAAAGGTTTTGAACAGTTAGCAGAATAATAAAATTCTAATACAACCATAGGCAGTGATTTTGATCAATTTCCCAATCGTTATGTCAATCCTCAACGGCGATTGGGATCACAGATGTTATCGGAAGAAAATACTCAAGGTAATAGTGCAGCAGTTCAAGCGAAACCGCTCACAGCAACGCAATAGTCGTCATCCACGCCAGCTACATAATATAATAGTGGTAAACCAAGAATTTCTCAAAATTCAAACTATCGTCGTTCATATTCGTTCAATCAACAAAATTCAAATCAAAATTATTCAGGATGTTTCACGTGTAACGCATTAGATCATTATGCCCGTGACTGTCCAGAGAAACAGAATTTGTAGTGCCGGAGCCATCGAATGATGGTGATGTCTCCGGAGAATCAAGCAACAATAACCCATGACGCTACTCGCTGTCTACACTTTTATAAAGTGTTATTTAACATCTCGCCTCTATCTAAATTTTGTATCGTTTCTATTCTTTATCAGTCTTTAAATCGCGCCTACGCGCTCATCTCCGTTACCAAATATAACTGTTTATTGTTCTCTGTTGGATGTTCAAAACGGTTCCTTTAACTTTACTTGCTGTTTATTGTATCTTGTCTTTTTTTGTGCGTTCATATTTGGAAAGATTTTTGGGAGCAGTATTTATAAGTCAGAGGCTTTTCCTGTTTTCCTGCTTAGATTTAAACTAAATAAAATGAAATTGAAATTGGCACTGTCACAATATTTCACAATATTAGCATCTGTTGACAGATATTATTCGAGTTCTACCTCTGCAAAACTTCGACGGGTCAGTCAAGTGTCTGTATCATATCATCTTATACTGACCACTATTATCATTACTTTTGTCTTGTATGTACATGTCCCGATTTAATTTGAAATAAATCCACCTGTGTATATGTGTACCGCTCAAAGTGAAACTTATTCCGAATATTTTGGCATCTATTATTCTGATTTACTGAGTATGTCCTCCGTGTATAATGATTTTATTTGGTCTACTTACCATGGTTAATGTTCGTCAACAACGACACCGTGCTCATCTAGTTAGCACAAGCATAAAGCGACGTGATATTCAGTTGTTGAAAATGCTGCTATTCCACGTCATTATGTATTTGATTCTGAATACACCTTATGCATCCGTCACTGTTTACAACAATGTCTTCAAAATAAAATATCTATTCTCAAATGTAATCGTAAAAACTGTCCGATTACTGATGTATTCGAGTTATCGTCTCAGCTTTTATGCGAATACAATCACATCTGTATAGACAAGACTTCTGTATCGTCTATTCGGTGTTGAACGAAGAGAGCCAGTTGAGGACTTTAAAAGGAGGATTTTTAGAACATCTGGAAGGAGTTTTCGGATTTTGGACGTTGTTGGTTGCCTGAAAAACCAATAAAGGCTTAATTGAAAAATCGGCGCCGGTCAGACGATGATGATGTAGTGAGGTGTCTAGCTTAGAATAGAACAAACCCGAACTCTCCAGCTTGAAGTATATTAAAAAATCTTGGGAAGTACATCAGGATCCTTTTTGGACCTTGATCTCTGGAAAACTCCTGAACAGTAAGACTTGGAAACAAAAAAAATAAAAAAACTACGAGATACCACGGATACTTTGGATTTCTCTAGAAGATTTCTGAAGGATCTCTAGGAGCTACTGAGCTTCTAGAGGATCTGTTGATACAAAAACGAGGATTCCAACGCCTCATAAAAGGATGTAGATAGTTTTAGAAAATGATGTGCTTGTACTTAAGACGGTCAGATAGCGACGTCCACCATAAATGGTGGACAAGCTTCTAAGTTTGGAACTGATCAAATATTATTTTATTATTCAGTTATCGACGCTAAGTAAGAAAAAGTAGTTTCAAAATAATAAACAAGAAAACCATGCAAAAATTCGGACTTTTTCAAACTAAAAAGAGTTTTCGACTTTTGACACTCTGGGGGTTTTCTTGATTTTTATACATTAAAAATCGGTTTTGAAAGGTTAAAAATATATTTTTGGAAACATGTTGGAAAAAACATTACTTAATTTACTTAATACTTGTATTATTGGCACCTTACATGACACACATCGTTTAAACAATGTCGACTTGATGACAGTGCTCAGTTTCTAACTATAAATGAGTTAAATACTCGAACGAAAAAATGACTATGTTATCGACAGGGGAGCGTTAATGCATTTACATATAAAATCAAAAGCGCCCGTAGCGATACATCAAGCAAATAAAAACAGATATATGATGATGTGGTTTTCTAGGTTTAGGTAAATTGCGTTGCAAATTATACGATTGATTGAAAAAATCCTTGAGAAAAAGAATTTTAAATAGAGAAGATTTGATTGGATAGAACACTATCGGTTACCGACTAGTACACTGTTTTCCCCACCGTCGATACTTTTTTCCCCTTAATATTAAAATTTTCCAAATACACGAAATTTCTCTGATTGGTAAAAGGGTTAAACGAAGAAAACAGTACTTGGCTCATATGCTAACTGACAGCACTTGAAAAGAAGAATCGATAGAGAACCTGTATTTCCTTAAGTGTCGCCAAAGAGCACACACGAAATGTTTCACATGAACAAACAGCACGAACATAGCATGAAAAATACTTAGTCTTAGTTCTCTCACCTTTTTCAGCACCTCATCATCATCATTTGTGTTCTGCCCGAGGGCAGGTCTTAGGCATAAAATGTTTTCCAATTTAAACGATCTTGCGCAAATCTCTTCATCTCACAATAGAATCCATCCTTGAAATCGTTCTTCAG